ATCTGCAAAGCTTATTTTGTGGTGTAAGGTAACATTCACAGGTTCTAGGGATTAAGATGTGGTTGTCTCTGAGGGCCATTATTCAGACTACCGCAATACCCGTTATGATATACCCGGAAATTAATACAAAATATTATTTTGAATAGGATCATTTAAGCATATTTCATTTAGAAGGAAGACATTATTTTAGGTTTTGATATTAATGCAGAAGTTCGTGGTTGGCTTTTAATTGACCATTTTCTCTTGCTAATTGTGTCATTAGTGGTTTTCTAAAAGTAATTCTTTAATTTTATGACATCTATAAAACAGCAATATATCTTAAAAAAGCGGAATGTTTTAGCATCTCTCCTTTTTCTGTATTGGTCACTTTCCCCTAGCTATCAGAATTGGATTGGGAGTTAGCTGGGGAAAAGTAGGGGGGTTGTATACAATCATATATATGGTTTAATTTGGTGGGAATGGGCATGTTAGATTTGACAGGAAATTGAAATAGAACACATTTATAGTAAATCATTTTAGAAAGTTGTATTTTATCATGGTTTTCTGACTTTTTTATGTTTAAAATTTTTTTATTTGGAGATAATTTTAAATTTATAGGATAGCTGCAAAAATAAAAATAGTACCAAAAAATACCTGTATACCCTGTATCCAGATTCACCTAATGTTAACATTTTACCTATTTGCTTTATCTTTTATACTCTCCTTTTCTCTATGTATGTATATATGTTCTTTTTCTTTTATGACATTGACATTTTTGAAGAATATAATCCCCCCTCCTTTTTTGTTATTGTTGGAATTTTTAAAAATTGAGATGTAATTTGCATACCATAAAATTCACCTTTTAAATGTATACAATCCCGTGGTTTTTAGGACATTCATAATATTTTGTAACCTATTATCTAATTCTAGAACATTTTTATCACACCAAAAAGAGACCTTTAGTAGTCACTCCCCATTCCCCCCTTCCCCCAGCCCTTGGCAACCACTAATCTATTTTCTGTCTCTGTGGATTTGCCTATTCTAGATATTTCAAAAAATGGAATCATACAATCAGTGACCTTTTATGTCTGGCTTCTTTCAGTTAGTATTTTTTCAAGGTTCCTCTGTGTTGTAGCATGAATCAGTACTTAAATATTCAGTACTGAATAATACTCCATTGTATGGATATACCACATTTTTTTAATCCATTCACAACTTGATGGACATTTGGGTTGCTTCCACTTTTTGGCTATTATGAATAATGCTGCTATGAACATTCTTGTACAAGTTTTTGGGTAAACATATGTTTTCAATTCTCTTGGAGTAGAATAGCTGGGTCATATGATAACTCTGTTTAACTTTTTGAGAAACTGCCAACTCATTGTTTTTAGTTTCTTTCCTGAGAAATTTTTCCTCTTCTTTGAAGATTCAAGGCAGTGATTCTGGGGTTGGGATGGTGGGTGTTTTTTTCAACTTCAGGTGTCCTTCCAGAGATTGAATGCTGAGAATAACTTAAAAGCCTGGCGTGGTGCTCCTTTCTTGACCTGAAAATGAAATACTAAGATGATTTGACTTAGCAGCATAGTTCTTTTCATTTGTGTTTAGTGGATTTTAATGCTTTTAGTTTTCTGTTTGATCCTATAAAGAAATTGTTGGCAACTTTAGTTGTTTTAGGAGGTAAGAATGCTTCATAATTGGGATGTTATTTATCATTATCTAATGGTTTAACAAAAAGAACTGGGAATCCACTCAATAAAGGTTTTTTCGTTTTTAAAAAAAACATGGAGAAAATGGCATTATATGTAGCATTAGTCATATACCTTTAAATGGAAGAAAATATTTAAGTGAATTTTGTTAGTATAATCATTTTGAAGATGTGATGGCAAATCCAGATAGAGTCATGAGAATAAAATTTGTTTGGGTATTATTTTAGTATCTGTAGTAATTGTTCCTACCTGATAGGAAAAAATTTGAGTTTCTATCTAGTTCAAACATCTTTAGTCATAGGTAAGAAGATCTTTAAATATCTTAAGAAGATGAGGAAATACAAAATTCTGTCAAAGATAAGAGGATGAGTAAAGGTTGAAGAATTTTGTGCGATGTCAGGAAGATTTAGTAACATTTAACTTAAGTCTAAGACTGTAGGCTATAGAGTTGTGAAATCAACTCTGTCTTTAAGTTATGAAGTCCCTACCATATAAAATAAGTATTAGGGGCCAGCCCCGTGGCTTGGTGGTTAAGTGAGCGCGCTCCACTGCTGGCGACCCGAGTTCGGATCCCGGGCGCGCACCGACGCGCTGCTTCTCCGGCCATGCTGAGGCCGCGTCCCACATACAGCAACTAGAAGGATGTGCAGCTATGATACACAACTATCTACTGGGGCTTTGGGGGGAAAAAATAAATAAATAAAATCTTAAAATAAGTATTAGAGTCATTGAGAAGAATCTAGAAATGTCCTGGCTAAAATCTCTGTTAATAATAAAACCTTGATCAGCTAAAATGATATTACTAAAAATCTCTTGGGATGATGTAACTGTTTCAAGAAGGGCTAGGCAACTTTTAACCCTAGGGATATTTAGAATTAAGTATAAAAATATTTGGGAATCAAACTCATGGTATTAATGGTTTTATGCTAACAAGGCAGTGCATATTTCTTTTATTTACTTGTTACTTAGACCATTAGAGTAACATGTCTTCTAATTCCATTTTTAAATTTATAATTAAGTAATTGACTTATTCTTATGATTGTTAAATAGAAATCTTAACAAATTTGTATACATTATATGAATATTTATGAAAACTTAAGACTCACTGTATTTGTGCATTTAATTTATTATTTTTATAAAGATTAAGTACTTGGAAACTTTTATGAAACAGGTAAAATGTCTAAAGTAAATGGAATGTCTCAGGGTATTTGTTTGTAAATGTGACCAAGTATTATTCCAAACTCAGAAAAATAATTTTTGGTTGGACGCTCAACATTATGAATATAATGTTGTTAAGTGCTTGACTGTTTTGTTTTTCTTTATGAAGTGTTGAACTGTGTTCTTGTAGGCAGTTAATTGTGGATTAGCTTGAGCCTTCAACTTGCTTTTAAGCTTTATTGGGCAGATTAGAGCAGACATTACACTAGGGCTAGCTTTACTACTAGGACGTGACCCTTCTCAGGTCTTTACTTAATGTTCTCAGTGTTCAGAGGCCTCTCCTCTCTAGGGGATTAAATCTTGAATGACTTTCAGCCCTTTGTAAATTCTGGAAATTTTTCGGTTTACAAATCCCCAATTACTCTTGGCTAGCCTTGTGGAGTTCACCATATGACTTGGTATTCAGTTCTCAAGCTCTTTCTCAGATACCTTCCTCTTTTCCATATGCTACCCTGTAAATTCCTGCTGCCTTAGGCTCACTCTCTTCCTGAGCTGTGGTCTGGACTGTGCCTTTAGTCAGAAAGCTGAGGCTATTGTAGGGTTTATCTCATTTCTTTCCCTTCTCTCAGTGATCACAGTCTTGCAACGCCTGTTGTCTAGTGTCTGAAAACAGTTGATAGCTATCCATCTGTCTGTCTATACATCTATATGTATATGTAAAATCTTCTAGTCATTTCTGAAAGCACTTAAAATTTTGTTCAGAAGTGGCATACATCATGTCTACAAAGCAAGACAAATAGTCAAGTCCAAAGTCAATAAGACATTGGGCCGGCCCCGTGGCTTAGCAGTTGGGTGCACGTGCTCTGCTACTGGCGGCCTGGGTTCGGATCCGGGGCGTGCACCAACGCATCGCTTCTCCGGCCATGCTGAGGCCGCGTCCCACATACAGCAATTAGAAGGATGTGCAGCTATGACATACAACTATCTACTGGGGCTTTGGGGGAAAAAAAAAAAAATAAATAAAATTATACAAAGTCAATAAGACAGAGAAGTATACTCTCTCTATAGGAAAGCATAATAAGAATGGGGAGAGAATGAAAAATTGTGATCAAGTAAGACAATCTATCATAGAAAGGTATAACAAAGTCCTGGCAATCTGTTACCTCAGTGTGTTCCAAATAGCAAGATGTTAATAATATGGCAATGATTATGATGATAGTAAGTGTTCAATAAATGTTAGCTATGTGCCTGGGCACTATTCTAGTTAACTTACATGTCTTAATTCTCTTAAGACTCACAATAACCCCGTGAAATAGGTAGTACTATTATTACCATTTTAAAGATAAGGAAATTAAAGTTTATAGAAGTTAAATTTCTTGTCCAAGGTAAGTTGTAACACCCAGATGTGTAACTTGGTATACTGGCCAAACTATGGTTAATACGGTGTACTATATTCTATCTTAGCATATTAAAGCTTCCGAGTAGTTCTGCAGTGAAGAAATCTGTTTAATAAAGTTAAACCTAGTCTTTCAATTTTTTTTTTGAGCTGGAACTCTACTCAGGATGGGGGGATATGTATTATCAATTGATTGGTCAGTATTCCATGGAGTGTTTGTACTATAAGATCCCTGTGGGTAAAAACAATGTCCTATTGGACTTTATAGAGTTAAGAGCACTAACTTCAGTGTCAGACAAATGTCGTTTTCTCCCAACTCTTGCTATTTCTTAGCTGCGTTCTTAAGCTCCTATGACTCAGTTTCTCCATAAAATAGAAAGACTCAGTTTCTCCATAAAATAGAAATGACAGTATCTACTTCATACTTGTGAGGACAGTTAAATGAAATGATGAATATAAAGCATTTAGCACAATCATTGGTAAAGAGTAGGAGCCAAATGTTAGCTTTTTTATGTGTTGTTCTTATTATTATTAATGCTATTCCTATCTAAGTCACATAGCTATTTCAATAAGTGTTTGTTGAATTAATGTATTAGTTTTCACCTATATTATTTAATATTTTTACTTTGTCTACAGTTTTAAATTTGAAATTTATAGAAAATATATAGCATGTTAATATGTTGGTAAACTTTTACTTCTAATATTTACATTGCTACATGGAAAAGAGAGATATTGAAATGTTGTCTCTTTTTTAATTTTAGAGACCTATTACTACATTTCTCCATTAGTTGGTGTCTTTTTCTTGGCTCTAACTCCTATCTGGATTATAGTAGCTGCCAAACATCCAGCCACGAGGACAGTTCTCCACTCAGGCTGGGAGCCTGTCATAACAGCTATGGTTATAAGTAGGTTAGTATTAAAATGTGTGTTTGTGTGTGTTCTATATGCATGTATCTGTATGTATATTAAAACAAATAATTTCCTGTTTTTATTTCTTTTATCAATCATTTTATATAGCTAGTTCTTTATTATCCCATGTAATAAGGGATATAAGTGACAGGAGTTCTTGAAATCAGTAGATGTACAGAACCTCATTTAGTTACCAGTTCAAACTTTTCTCCAACCAAATCCTTAGCAGATTGATGAATAAAATTCAGCAGTGTTTGTCTTGTATGTTTGTGTGTTTTAACCTGACAAGGACATTACTTATTTTTAATAGTAAGTTGTTCACATACGTATCAGAAAGACTTAGAAATTTACTTACCATTTGACTACTTCCACTTCTAGAACTCTGACAGGACTTAAGGATATATGCAAAAGATTTAGTTGCAAGGATCCTCATCACAATGGAATTTTTTTGTGAGGAAGACTAGCCCTGAGCTAACATCTGATGCCAATCCTCCTCTTTTTTGCTGAGGAAGATTGGCCCTGGGCTAACATCCGTGCCCATCTTCCTCTACTTTATATGGGACACCACCACAGCATGGCTTGACGAGCAGTGCATCGGTCTGTGCCCGGGATCTGAACCTGCAAACCCTGGGCCGCCGAAGCAGAGCGCGCACACTTAACTGCTGTGCCACCAGGCTGGCCCCACAGTGTAATTTTTGATAATAAAAAAAGAGAGAGAATACCTTAGAGATGTAGCAATCAGGTATTGATCAAATAAATTGTAGTATAGTCACAAAATGGATGGTGGTCTAGTGGTTAAGATTTGGTGCTCTTACCACTGTGGCCCAGGTTCATTTCCTGGTCAGGGACCCACACCACCTGTCTTTTTGTTGTCATACTGTGGCAGCTGCGTCCTGCTGTGATGCTGAAGGCTATGCCACCAGTTTTTCAAATACCAGCAGGGTCACCCATAGTGGACAGGTTTCAGCTGAGCCTACAGACTAGGAAGAAGGACCTGGCCACCCACTTCTGAAAAATTGGCCATGAAAACCCTGTTAATAGCAGTGGAGCACTGTCTGATATAGCACTGGAAGGTGAGAGGATGGCGCAAAAAGATCGGGCAGGGTTCAGCTCTGCTGTACACAAGGGTGCTAGCAATTGGAATCCACTCGAGGGCACTAGCAACAACAACACAAAATGGAATATTAGTCAGCCATTAAGGAAAACATTGTAACATTTCTATTGACATGGAAAGATGTTCATTATACATTTGGTGAAAAGAACAAGCTAGAAAAGAGTATGATTTCCTGTTAAACATGGTAAATTGACACGTTTATTTTCTTCCTTCCTAAAACTACTAAAATAACAGTAAAAAAATTCAAAAGCTATAAACCTACAAAGAAGGGAAGCAGAGAGTACACCAGGTGAGAGATTCAACAAAATTAGTAAGATAGGAATCAGATGGATGGTTGTTAATTGAACTAGCAGAATGAAAAAAGCTAAAACTTAACCCCCTGCAGGGCGAGGGGACACCCATAAGAAGCAAGTCGATATAAGCCTGGAAATCCAGAAAGGTGGAGGAATTAGAGGCACTAAGTACTTCTGAAAGCTAGAGTGAAGAAGATTGGTTGAAAGTCTTTTAAGAAGCAATTAGATCCTAGAAGCCCTTCTCGAGCTTAACCACCCTGGTGACTGCCCCTCCCACCCTAGCAGAAGACAAGATTGACTCTGGAGAGGTTAAATCAGAGGCTCTGGATTCAGAAACATCTGCACCAGTGAGGATGTGGATTAAGCACTGTATGAAAAACAGGATTAAGTGAAAGTCTACGTGCTGAACAGTGAAAACCCTATCACACTTCCTTTTCTTTGCTCATGGAATGCTGGCCGTCAGGCTTATACCTCCAGGCAAAAAATTAGATAATTTGTTTCTGGGGAAACTCATCAGCACAAAGGAAAAACCTGCAGACACTGACCCCTGTGGATCCTTTAGTGAAAGTGCTGTATGCCCACCTGACCTTTCCTCAGTGAGGCCCACCTGTTAGCAAGCTCTGCCTGTGGACACAGAGAGCTTCAAGTGTGCTTTGCTTTGCCCCTTAAAGAGGAGCAGACAGTAAAGGATTGCCAGGCGTTTGATTAAGGCTTCTAACGTGAAAGAGAGACCAAAAAAATGGTACTCAAAGAAAGTGCAGGGAGAGTTGAAAAACCTCAAAAAGCTATCATCGGTATCCTCAGAGAAATAAGAGAAGCTATGGCATCCATAATGTAAGAACTGAATGCTCCAAAAAGGAGGATTTGAAAAACAGGAAGAGCTCTTGGGAATTTAAAAATATATAAATAGCAAAAACAAAAACTTCAGTACAAAAGTTAGAAGACAAGGTTGAGGAACTATCCTGGAAAGTAGAACAGAGAGCAAAGAGGTGGACAACCAGGGGCAAACAGTAAGGAGGGAAAATTATCAAAGAAATAATACAAGAAAATTCCCCAGAACTGAAGAACATAGGCTTCCAGACTGAAAGGGCCCACTGAGTACCCAGCACAATGAATTAGAGTAGGAGAGACCTAAATCATAGCACATTATCATACATCCCAAATGCTTCCAGAGAGAAAAGATGTTACATATAAAGGATTGGGAATCAGAATGACGTCCAGTAGCAACACCAAAAGTGATTCCTTCAAAATCTGAGGGAAATTTATTTTGAACATAAAATGTGGTCACAGTATCAATCAAATGTAAGGTAGACTCAAGTTTTCAGATGTGCAGGGTCTCAAAAAATGTACTTCCCATGTACCCTTTGGTATAAAAGCTGATAGAAGGTATGGTCTATCAAAATGTGGGAATAAATCAAAAAAGAAGACAACACAGGAGTGAGGAAACCCATTCTGTAACAGCATGTGGTTCATTTTTCTGTAATGTAGATTGCTTTTTCCTGGAAGATTCAGGCAACAGGATCCCATGGAATATTGGGACTGGCAATGTTTTGTTTTGTTTTGTTTTGTTTTGTTTTTGTGAGGAGGACTAGCCCTGAGCTAACATCCGATGCCAACCCTCCCCTTTTTTTTTCTTGAGGAAGTTTGGCCCCGGGCTAACATCCGTGCCCATCTTCCTCTACTTAATATGGGATGCTGCCACAGCATGGCTTAACAAGCAGTGCGTCGGTGTGCGCCTGGGATCCGAACCTGTGAACCCCAGGCCACCGAAGCAGAGCGCGCGCACCTAACCGCTGCGCCACCAGGCTGGCCCCAGAACTGGCAATGTTTTATAGTACGTAGATCAAGAGACTGAAGTTAACCAATTGATAATGGTCTTGGAAACTTAAAAAAGAAACTCCAAGCTCCTTTGAGACATTGAGAGTGTATGGCTTCCCACTATATAACTGTATGTCATTTTTCCAGACCTCTGTTCTCAAGATCATATCTTTGTATGGCTACAACTCATTATATTACTTTACCAGTGATAAGACACACCCTAACTATATCTAGTTATAACCCAATAAAAATCATCCCTTTAATTTTACTTGAAATATGAAAAGATACTCTTTTAAAAATTATTTTTATTATTATTATTATTTTGGTGAGGAAGATTAGCCCTGAGCTAACATCTGTTGGCAATCTTCCTCTTTTTGCTGAGGATTATTGGCCCTGAGCTAACATCTGTGCCCATCTTCCTCCACTTTGTATGTGGGATGCCGCCACAGCATGGCTTGATGACGAGTGTGTAGATCCTCGCCCAGGATCCGAACCCATGACCCCCGAGCTGCTGCAGCGAAGCACACGAACATAACCACTACGCCACTCATCGGCACCTTAAAATTATTTTTTAAATTATAAGAGCAATAAATGCACATGGTCTTAGAAAATTAATAAGTACAGAAGGTTATAAAATGACCATTCTTAGTCTCCTATCAGTCTCACCCCGTGGAGATATTGTTAATAATTTCTTATATGTCCTTCCAGACATTTTAATGCACTTAAAGTATTCTTTTTTACAAGTAACATATCTTGGAGATCAGAAAGAGAGTCCTGAAATGTGAAGCTACAGCTTATGCCATGTTTTATTTTCAACATTTTGCTGTTGACGTTGATTTTTATTTTGATTATTTTTTCTTTTTATTCTATTTTTTTATGTCTAATTATCTTATTTTTGAAAGTAGGGGTTGTTTGTATGTAAAGAACAGCTTCAAACTGATACATTTCCTTTTCTCTTCCCAAAATTATACGATTTTGTATCTTTCAGCATTGGGGGCCTTATTCTGGACACAACTGTATCTGATCCAAACTTGGTTGGGATTGTCGTTTACACACCAGTTATTAACGGTAAGAGTGATATACTGTTTCATAATGATATCAAATCTTTGTATACTCTTAGGTACTAATAGGAATCATAGGGTTCAGAACATATTTTTGAAAAGAACTGTTTCTTACTCTTATTGCTAAATATTAGTTTGAGAGTCAGACATGCCCTATTTTTAAGGTTAATGTGACAAAATACGATATTTCAGTTCTGGATACTTTGGGTTTATCTGCTATTTTATGTTGTTTTGTTGCTGCTCCTGTCAATTTTCATGGATAAATTAGAGTTAGCTAGGTTTAAGCATTGCTTGAGTCAATTCGGCCCATTAAAATTTATCACTCCTCTGCTGATCCCTTTAAAATCTGCCTTATATTTTTTCTTATCTATAAAATGGAAATTATAATACTTAAGTTCACAGAGATTTCTGTATGAATTTCATTTAATAAGATAATTTTAATCCAGTCCTACTGGCTTTTGGGCTGGCTGTCATTAAATTGGATTTTAGGATAGCCTAAGCCAATATAATTTAAAAAGTAATTCAACCTGGGGAAAAACATGTCGCAGGATATGCTACACATTTAATAAAATTACTTTTGAATATTTATGTATAAAAAATATGTTATATGAAGGCAAGTTCTCTAAAATATAATTTTATATGTAAAATTTCTACTGAACATTTTAATTTTTGTGTACCTTTGGAATGCCCATGAACAAATTTCCCCTATAGACTCTCCCTCCCAGTTTTCCTGGTGCCACTATTCTCCCCATTAAAATCAAGGAACCATCTGATTCAACCTGGCCCTTCATCCTCTTTGAATGGACAATGACCAAACCTTGCCTATTCGCCCTTGAACATAATTTGCTAGTTCATTTATTTGTGTAACAAGCATGTCTCACCATTGTAGTCTGCTAATGTCTCACTCCAGCCAACATTCAGGTAATAAAGTATCCTTCCTGACTCACTCCTTATTCAATGCAAATTATATGTCACTAACAGACTAGTCTTCCTTAAAATTTGTTTTTATTATATCACTGTGTCTTAAGATGATGACTTAAGAGTGGTTTCCTCCTGCCTATCAAATCAAGTTTGAATTCTTCTGCCTAGCTTTCAAGGCTTTCTTTATGCTGTTGGATGGGTACAACTTTTTCCTTTATCAATCTAACTAGACTCTTGTATTCTGTCCATGCAAAGATCTTCTAATTTTCACTGCCTGGAATGACTCTTGCTTTCCTTCCACCTGTTCAAATCCTCTTCAGTGAATATTAGTTGATGAATTTACTAGCATAAATATTATCCAGTAATGACTATTAGAGCTATATTGCCCAACATTTCAGTGAGAAATTTAACTTAAATTACAATGACCCCATTATTAGTAAGGTTTTAATGAGTATTTCTGTTATTTCACCTTACGTAAGAAACAGTTATAGAGCTTCGCTGAAGCATGCTCTCCTTAGAAGTCTGTGTCTTGGCATTGCACGGTAGTAAAATCTTTTTTGTATTCCAGCTAGTAAACCTGTTAGTTGGGTATCACAATGAGCTCATCTTATGTTAAATTCCACTCTTTAAAAACATTGGTAGAGAAGATTCCCTCCATGTTCCTCAAAAAAGGTGAAACTTTTGAGAATTGAATTTCATTTTAAATGTGCTAGAGGATGTGCTCTAAAGGACCTCTGTTCACTATTATGAAGATGATGATTATCATCATCATCATTTGCTATTTAGTGAGTACCTACTATGTGTCAGATAACTTATAAGTCTTTTATGCTTGTTATATCATTTAATCCTCACAATAAGAAAGTAATTTGTCCAAGGTCTTGTATCCAGTAAGTGGTGAGTCAGGATTTAAACCCCGGTCTGCTTGATTCCAAAGTCTGTGATTTTTTTCTCTTAAAATAAACTACTAATTTATCTGTTTTATTAGACACAAGAATATACGCTTTATTTAAAGTAAGGCATGTCTGTGTTGATATTGTGCTTAGGATATCTTTTAACACTATTAGTATAGAACTAGTAGTATTTTCCGAAATATATTTCATAGTAACACTAGTTCTGTGAGATGTTAATAAGTATAACTTGAAAAGTGAGTTTTGTGGTCAATTAAGTTTGGGGAACATTAGGTTTAGTAGATTTCTTTATTACAAGATTTCTTAAAGTCTTTATCATGCTAATATATACTGTGAATCTCTCCTCCTGGGACTTCTGTTAGCTAGGGGTTAGAATTTCTGGATCTAACCTTCCTTCAGACCCCAGACCATACTTTGAGAACTACTAATCTAGGGCTTATAATATATATCTTTATCACTTGTACTTTCAAATGGTAATATACCACTTGACATATAGGATAAGAACCTTACGTCTGTATATTTGGATTTTCACTCTGTCTTATGTGCTCTTTTTGTCATACATTTTTCTTTGTTATAAACCCTATAATGCATTGTTATTATTTTTTGCTTTAAACAGTCAATTATTTTTTGAAGAGATTAAAAATGAGAAATGATATCTTTTCCATTTTCCCATATATTTTACAGCACTCTTCTTTCCTTTGTGTAGATCCAGATCTCTATCTGGTATTATGTTCCTTCTGCCTGAAGGAGTTCCTTTAATGTTTCTTGTAGGGCAGGTCTGTAGAGAAAAGAGATTCTAGGCATGGTCTCTCCCAGCATACTTCTCTTTCCTTTCCCTTCACCTCTGTTCTTACCTCTAACAATGTCTATTCCTAATTTCTTCCATTCCTATCTCAAAAGAAGAACTGACTCTTGTCCAAGACCAGCTAACCCACCTGTGCTCTGGATGCCATTCCATTACAACTCCAGTGGGATCCTTACTGCATCAATTAATTTAATTTTTCCTGTATCTTCTATGTCTGCCTCTCTTCCATCTTTTCCCTTTCGCTTGCAAATGTACTCAACTCTTTCATCCTAAATCACCTTTCCCATGGTGTTCTGCCTTCTCAAGCTTCTGTTTTCTCTTTTCTATTCTTTATAACCAAACTTTTCAAAGTGTAGTCTGTACTTTGAAGTTTATTACAATATTTTCCCTCCCTCTCACTCCACGTAACTGCTTTTACCAAGCTCTCCAGTGACCTCCTAATTACTTTATCCAATTACTTATTTTCAGTCTTCATTCTATTCAACTGTTTGATACTATTTAATATGCCCTTTTTGCAACTCTCCCAATTCTCTGAAAATTCTTTTCATTTTCCTTCACTGACTTCTCCTTTCTACCTGCCTCTTACGTGTTTGTATTCTTCACTCTGTTCTTGATCATCTGTTGTCACACTTCACTTTCTTTGTGAGTGATATTATCTAGTCCAGAGGTTTTCAAAGTGTGGTCCCCAGACCAGCAGTGTCACCTAGGATCTTGTTAGAAATGCAGATTCTTAAGCCTCAACCCAGACCTCCCAAATCAGAAACTCTAAAGTAGAACCCAGCATTTGATTCTGATACATGCAAAAATTTGAGAACCACTTGTCTTAGTCATATGACTTCAACTCTTTATCCCTAGTCTTGACTGGATCCATACTGTAAACTGGATATTTCCACATGAAAGACCCAAAGCTCCAAATTGAACTCAATAATTTCCCCCAAACCTGATCTTCCCTCTGGGTTTCCTAACAGTTAGTGGTATTATTATTATCTACCTAGTATCCCAAACAAGACATTCCAAAGTCACATACTCCCTGTCTCTTATACTCTCTATTTTTATCTGCTCTTGAAACACCTTCTGAATTAGTCTCAACCCTTTGTCTCCATTATCCCTGTTTTTGTTCATTTTCTTACTTGGGTACATCTGCATAAACTGCCTCCCTGCCTCTTCTCTCACTCAGTTTAACCTGTCTATCCTTGGTATTGCTGTTAGAGTTATCTTCCTAATAAACAAAAGGGATCTTGTCCCTTGCTTGCTTAAAGGTCACAGTTAAGTTTCCTGGAGGATAAAGTATGAATTATTTAGTGTAACCTACGAAGCCCAATCTATCCCTAAAATATCCCTCTCCAGTCTCATTTCACCACCACTCCACCAAGTCTTAAAATTTTTCTCTTGTTAAATTTTTGATGCTTTCTCAAATAGATCATGTTGTTTCTCTATACCATTCCTTTGTACCTACTGTTCCCTCTGTTATACTCCCCTTTCTTACCAAGTTCTGCTCATTCATCTAGACCTAATTAAAATGCCACCTCTTTTGCAGAGTAGATACTTAGGCAGAGTTAGTTGCTCTCTTTTCTATGCTTCCCCAGCACACTTTTAGCACTTTTATTGTAGTACATATTTACTTTGTATGATCATTTCCTTTTCTTATGACTCTCTGAATAGTGGCTAGCATGTTAAGATTTGGTAATTGTTGGAGGAATAAATGCATGAGTTAAGGCACATGCTTAGTTTTGCTGCAAACTGTATGTCACTGAATTTGAAGAAATGATCTTGTTAAATAACATAACTAAGATCATAACCAAAACATTTCATAAACTTTAGTGGGAACTGGTGAGGTACATTAAAAATGGCAAAAATATAAAAATGGTTCCTCCTGTTTGTAGAAATAATTACAATGATGGCAACATTTATTACTTTTCTTAATAATTCTCCTGTGTGTAGCTAGAGAAATGGGTTTCTCAGCATTTTCCCCTTGTTGTTGTGTTCTACAAGCTCTTTAGATAGGAGTGAATATTTAGATAGTAGCTCTTTAGATATTAAAAGAGGTTAGAGATCCAAGGAGTGAATATTTTGTGGGCAGAGGAAGAAAGAGTTGGGCTAGAGACTGATTGGTTAGAAGAGGGGTAAACTAAGTTAGTGTAGCCCAGGAAAATGATTCAGAGGGACCAGTTGTTCAATGATTAGGAAGTCATTTGAGAGTTCAGTTTTTGGTGAGTAGAAGTAATGGTGAAATAAATGAAAGTATAGTCTTACAAGAGAATATTATTAACAATAAAAATGAATGAATTACATCTCAACAAAGATGAATCTCAGGAACTTATATGATAAATTATTCCATTTATATAAAGTTCAGAATGTTTAGGAATACACATG